CCTCATCTGTGGGTGGGCCAGAAAAAAAACAGAAAATATTCCGCCGAGAAGCCCCCCCTCCCACGATCAGGCTTGTGTCCCCCAGATAAATGCTCACCCCCACATCATCATACGGCAGGGACGGGGTGGGGTGACCCCCCCCCAGTCCTCCGCGCAGTGAGGGCTTATTTTCTCTTTCCCCACCTGGTGGGGTGTCACGGGGGCAGAGGGCGGGTTCTGAATAATCTCCTTCCCCACCCCCCATGCTCTCTTTTTTCCAACCCTGGCCGGAGCTGGAGGCTTGGACAGAGACAGGGTTTCTGCCGGGCTATTTCTGTCTCTGGTGCCAGCTGTTCTCCCTGGAGGCTCTTTGGCAGGTCTGATTAAGTTCTTAAGGGCAAAGGAGGGAGGCAGGTGGAGGGAGGGAGAGCAGCCAAGAGAGGCGGGCCGGCCAGACAGCCACAGGTTTATCCCAGGGTCTCCCCAAAACCTGACCCACAGCTGAGACCCCGTGTGAGTTTGAGCTGTGACTGAGTGTCTAGGGAAGAAAGTGATGGCAGGTGTGGTCTGATAAAGACACCCAGAGGTGCCCTAACTGGTTTGGCTCAGTGGATAGAGCATCAGCCTGCGGACTGAAAGGTCCCAGGTTCGCTTCCGGTCAAGGGCATGTACCTTGGTTGCGGGCACATTCCCAGTAGGAGATGTGCAGGAGGCAGCTGATCGATGTTTCTCTCTCATTGATGTTTCTAACTCTCTATCCCTCCCCCTTCCTCTCTGTAAAAAATCAATAAAATATATTTTTTTTAAAAAGACACTCAGAGGTTCGTCAGAAGAGCAGGGTGGTCTCTGCTGAGTGCTCTGCACAATTGGGATTCTACCCATTCCCCTTGTTCTGGATTGACCCCGTGGCAGAGCCAAACTCCCCAGTGTTCGCTTCAAGGCCCCTCACTCCTGCTCCCCCGGCCCTGGTAGCATGCACCGTGGTGACTCCGGAACCTTCCCGGGAGGAATGCCTGCTTCCCATGTAGTCAACAGCACCGATAATCTGCCTCTGATGCAGGAACACTGATTGAATCCTTGTTTAAGAAAAAGTTAGGACATTTCGGGAAATTTGAATATGAGCTTGGGGCTAGGGAATGAGTATTGATTTTCTTAGGCATAAAAATGGTATTAGGGTTATAGGGGAATAATGACAAGTAGTTGACGTGTTCATGGCTGAAGCATCATAATGTCTGCAATGTCCCACATTCAAATCCTTCAGAGAACGTTCCATGTATATGCACACATGCACAGGGCAATGTGGCAAAATGCTAACAACTGTTTTATCTGGGGGGGATTTGTGGGTGTTTATTGCACTATTCTTCCAAATTTTCTACATTTTCATATTCATAATTGAACATTATTTTTTTAAATATATTTTTATTGATTTCAGAGAGGAAGGGAGAGGGAGAGAGGGATAGAAACATCAATGATGAGCGAGAATCATTGATCGGCTGCCTCCTGCACGCCCCCTACTGGGGATCAAGCCGGCAACCTAGGCATGCACTCCTGACCAGAATCGATCCCGGGACCCTTCAGTCTGCAGGCCAACACTCTATCCACTGAGCCAAACCAGCTAGGGCTGAACATAATTTAAAAGTTGGAAA